GTAAAATTAAAGCGTAAAAATGACAAAAAGAAGCTTATAATCTAGTTTACTTAACTCACTTGTACACATTGACATTAGTGACAGGCGATGTTTAATTTTATTTTGAATAGCACAAGCCTACTATGCGAAACTAAAATGAATGAAAATAAAATTGGATTTACAAATTTTCTACAAAGGTGTTTCTCTTAAAAATGGTTGCTTTAATCCAAATTTTGCAAGAGACCAATTCGATAGACAATTGAACACTTTACACGAAAATAGTGCCCGTTTGACAAAATTAGCAGTGGCGTAGAAAATATTTTTAAAAAAGGGTCACGTTGACCCCGTCTCTACGACACTGCTGCTCATAAAATTTTGAGCAGTACATCCAACGAATTCTAACCACTAGAAGGAACTTAAAATAACTTAACTTAGGAAATAAAATAAGGATTGAATAAAATATATTTGAACTGTATTTGGTTTTATAATTAATGGTTCCCAGATCTACAAATCGGGATACCCCTAGGACAGGATGTCTCGATTAGTAAATGTGGAAGCCCCATACAGAGGAATGGATCAGAAAATAATTTCTAGAACTCTTTAAGACTAATTCTACGTATATCAAACTAACAGTTCAAGTATTGTGAAACTATTCTTAGACGATGTTCGACGATGTAAGAGTGGCCTTACGTAAACTTTCGTTCTACTTCCCATAGTTCAAATGCCCTGTGCCAAACTTGTTGAAAGTACAGTGGCTATATGCAAGACAGTGGCGACAATAGCGACTAAACCNGGCGTACTGTCAAAAAAGGCAAAATATTAAAATTTACAAAATACCAATACACATTTGAAAGGATTACTCATTTTATAAATAATTTTTACATATTGGTGATATAATGAGACGGTAAAAATTAAAGTAAAATTAATAAACTGTTTTTACTATACTCAAATTGTTTTGACTGATTAATAAAATGCTCTTATCCAACACTTGTATATAATGATACTATAATTTCTTTGGTTTTAAAGGAATAATGTGGCCTATAAGTCACTAGTGAGTTATAAGTCTTATGACTTGTCACTAGTAAGTTATGACATAAAACCCACTAGTGACTTCTATGGAATTCTAAACAGTTTCTTAACAAATCAGCTTTTGCTGCACCACTTAAACCGTTTGTCAAGAAGTACCCAACAAGTATTTTCCAATGACTATTTATAGCTACAACCATAAAAACAAGAATTTCCGTAGCTTTTGGAATATTATCCCCATATACTTCAGTGCCGACATCAACATATCCAGTGAATCGTTTCCTATTCCACTCAACACTTTGCATTATAGACGTTTCTCAAATACCAAATTGCCCAAAATTTCACTGCTTGTTTCTCTTACTTTCATTTTAATAGCAGCCATTGCTTCATTTGTAAATCCAGGTGTCTCCATCTGTACCACTTAGAAATTGTTTTTGTATGTGGCAAAACCATGATAAAACTTCTTGCATAATTATAAGCATCTGTTGAATAAAAGCTTAACGTTAAGGCAAACGACCTAAGCGCAGTGAATACTTTTTAGAGATTGTCATTTTCTTGGTCTTTGACAGATTTCACCTAATATTCCAGGTGCTGATTCCTAAAATTACATATTGTTTACAGACACAGAAAGAATAAGTATTTTTCAACTTACATGAATGATACATTGAGCAGTTTCTGTAAAGTCATATTTCCTTTTCAAAAATTTCAGAAGAGAATTAAGGCTACAAATTCTGGCTTTTAGACGACTCTTTGCCTGATGCAGACTTCGGATCTTTATTGTTTGCATTGTTTGTTTATTTTTTTCTTACAAATATTCCAATTTTTTCTTGCTCTTTTTGGACTATCCATGTCAGAAGTATGACATTCTCCAAGATATCGTGGATAAGGCATTTTCCTAAAATTGATGAATTATCTATTCCAGATGTATTTTATATAAATAATACTTACGGTAGTATTTATATAAAATAAAATGGTTATATATAAATAGGTAACAGGTAGAATTTTCTTGATATTTTTTAAAATGTACTGAATAAAAGAAAATCTTAGATAGGTAAGCAGATAGCAAAATTATAGGGTATTAGTTGTAGATACTATACAAAGGATATATAATTTGTTAATTATATTTTTATAACTTACTTCACGTTTATAATTTTATTACGATTGGGTGAATCCATTCCTATTTCTNGAAAAACGAATACTTAATACTAGTGATAGTATTTGTTACAATAAATGTCCAGCAACACTTTTACTTGCAAGCTTTTTGCATGCTTTTTGACATTTTTTGGAAGCTATTTTTAATCGGAACATAATAAATCTTTTAACAATTTTATTTTTGATCTGATGACAATTTGGTAGATCTAAATTTAAATCAGACATTTCTTTTAAGAAAACTCTTTTAAATTTGTTTTGTCAAGATTCAATCGCAAAAAATGTTGTAAAAGTACTCTCCATCTGCAAGAAGAAACAAAATACCGCTTCACTGCAAAAAAGACTGAATGTTCTCTAAATCTCTTAAGTAGGTACGCTAAATTTTGAACATGTTTTATAGATCGGCGTTTTAGAACCAACAGCATGCAGACAGTTTGTACAAGTTTTTGACGTTTTAACGATACTTTGGGCAATATATCCGCACATTATAAAGATAATTTAATTCACTAAAACTAAGATTAAATTTTAGTTCTTCTATGTTAGCAGGAACCTTATAAAGCCTGAAAGAAATTCACGGTCATCGTCCTCATGAAGCTTCTGCAGACATTACAACTATCCCTTAGCACAGAATACCCAATAGTTTCACTAGTAATCACCAAAATTAAAATAAAACAATACAAATATTGAATAAGAACGCTCCCGACACCATGACATTTCACAGATGAATTTGACACCGCAGCTAAAATCACGTGGACCAATTAAAAATGATACACTCTATTGTCGCCACTGTCTTGTATAGAGTCACTGTAGTTGAAGGGAACTTTAGTGTAAGGTAACTTTACATTAAATATAAAATGAGAAAAGTTCTAGCAAATTTTAGACTTTTTCGATGTCTAGCCAAATTCCACCCTCAGCAGTGGTGATGTTAGACTTGACGGAAAATTTTAAAGGCAGCTGAGTTCCTTTGTTCAAAGTTACCCGGAAGTTCCTTAAGATTGAGGTTAGACCCACTTTGGTTTGCATAACGCCGAATCTTTCACCTGAAAAAGAACAAAAAATACGGAATTCGTCAACAACTTATCTGACAACCGTGTAGGGTAAACCCAAAATTATTTTTATGAGTTTCAAAACAGTATCTGTACAATTTTTACTGTTTTACGTGAAGCTCAAAAGGATGTAATTTCCTTAGACGTCTGTCAAGTTTTTGACAGACTGGACCACGCTGTTTTATTGTATAAATTGGACTTAATACAATTTTCTTAAGATTTCTTAAATCATAGTTATTGAAGTGAAGCCAGTGCATTGTGTTGGAATAAATGCGACTTCGGAAGTACCTCAAGGTTCTGTACTTGGCCCTCTTCTTTTGTTAAAAATAATAATGGGTATGTAAATTCTACTCTAATAAGAAAATACCTAGTGGTGAATATTTTTTACAGGCGTAGCGCTTTTCCGGGCATATACAGTGTCCCCCTAAAGTCGTGCACAAATTCATTATTAGGTAAACAAAAGAAATTATTAAAAATTCCCGAAACAGGTCGATTTTTGAATTTAATTTACTATTTTTTCAAATAATAATTTAATATACAGGGTGACCTATGTTCGAGTAATGACGTCATCACAATTTTTTTTAAATAGAACACCCCACTTTTTTTCCAATTTTCGGATTGCCCTAACTGAGCTGATCCCAAAAATATACCACAAGTTGCTTCTAATTGTTACAGGGAGGACAACAATACCCAAATTATTTACAAATACTAAATTTATTTACAAATAAATAAACGTACTAAAAATTGAATCAAATCACCAGAAACACCTAAATTAAATGTTCAAATTGTTGACCATTTACTGCCAAACAATGGTCCAGACGGGAAGTAAATTCTTGCTGTACATTCCCAATGACTTCAGGCGGGATCGCTCGAACTTCTTGCCGAATTCGTTCCTTCAGATCGTTAATACTGTTTGGTTTATTGACGTATATTTTGCTTTTTACATAACCCCAAAGAAAAAAGTTGAGCGGTGTTAAATCCGGTGATCTGGCGGGCCATTCCTTAGGTCCTCTTCTGCCAATCCTCCGATGAGGAAACACGTCATCTAAATAGCGGCGAACAGCGCTGGCATAGTGCGGTGGTGCACCATCTTGCTGAAACCAAATGGTTTCCTTGGGCAAATCTGGATCTTCTTCATTTGGAAATGGAACACTCAAGGAAGGTACTAAATGGAACTGAAAAAATTCCAAATATCTTGCACCATCTAAATTTCCTTCAAAGAAATACGGCCCAAAAATTCGATTACCAATTCCGGCCCAAACATTGACCTTTTGGGGATACTGAGTGTGTGCTTCCATCATCCAATGTGGATTGCGATCTGACCAGTACCGACAATTCTGTTTATTGACGGTGCCATTCAAATAAAAAGACTCTTCGTCGGAGAAAATTATGCGTTTCACAAAATCCGGATCTGCCTGACATTCTTCCATCATCATTTCGCAAAATTCTGTGCGTCTGTCGAAATCATCGGTCACATAATTCTTGTACTAAGTGGACTTTGTAGGGACGATACTTGTTTCTGTGAAGAAGTCTACTCAATGTACTTTCACTCATTCTTAAATTATCTGCTACGACTCTCAGACTGGATTGCGGGTTTTCATGAATGGTCAAAAGGGCTTGTAACTGTACTTCTTCAACTACAGTCGGTCGGCAAGATCTGGGCATATTTTTAACATGACCATGATTTCGAAACTTTGCTTCAGTTCGGCTAACCGTGGATCGATTTATTGGTGGACGATTGGGATGAATTTCATTAAACAAAACACAAACTTCCTCGTGAGTTCGAATTCTATCACCATATCCGATCATCATAAGAATTTCAATCCGTTCGGTTTCACTTAGAATCATATTTTTTAATTGATTCAAAAATACTCAATATTTTAAGGAAGAATCACTCAAAATGGATTTACTTGTACCTGCAAGAAATACACGAGCACGTTCTATCAGGCAGATAAAATTAAAAAAGCATCAAAGAAATTATAGCAAAAAATAATGACATTTTAAAATGTTATGTGGTGATTTGATCCAATTTTTAGTACGTTTATTTATTTGTAAATAAATTTAGTATTTGTAAATAATGTGGGTATTGTTGTCCTCCCTGTAACAATTAGAAGCAACTTGTGGTATATTTTTGGAATCAGCTCAGTTAGGGCAATCCGAAAATTAGAAAAAAGTGGGGTGTTCCATTTAAAAAAAATTGTGATGACGTCATTACTCGAACATAGGTCACCCAGTGTATTAAATTATTATTTGAAAAAATAGTAAATTAAATTCAAAAATCGACCTGTTTCGGGAATTTTTAATAATTTCTTTTGTTTACCTAATAATGAATTTGTGCACGACTTTAGGGGGACACTATATAGAATTTTACAAAAGTGAAATAGTCATTTACACCATAAAGGAGGTATGTATTATTTACCAGTTGAGGACGATTTTGTGCCCGAGCGGAGCGAGGGCTCGTAATAGAGTCCGAGACTGGTGAATTATACTTAACTGCTGCGTGGTGTATAACATTTTATCGGCTTCCACAGTTCTTTATGGTTCATAAAATAAAGATTAAGTTTTATTTTTTGATATTTTTTAATCAGTTTATTTTAACATTATTCGAAATCTTGCAAAGTCGCCTTGGTTGTTTGGATTTTGTCGTTTATGAACAAAGCTATATAATACTTGCAATTTTGCTGGTTTTGAATTATTATTGAAATTCATCAAGATTAGATTAGAAATTAAAACTGAAATTTCCCGCTTTTTTATGCGCAATCAAGCAGGCAGATGCAACCAGTTGGCAATACTGCCCTTTCTATGATTCCTAATTAGATTGCACAGTTTTTGAAACTAGAACACCCTGAAACATATACAGGCCATTCATTCCGAAAAACTACGGCAACGTTACTGGCTAATACAGGAGTTGATGTATTAGCAATCAAGGGACGTAGTGAGTGGAAATCAGCCACAATTGCAGAAAGTTATGTTGCTGACAGTTTAAGTAACAAAAATGAAATAGCCAACAGGATTCTTTACAATGACACTTCAACTCCAGGTCCTAGTAGTACGTCGCATCATGCTGTTTTAATGGATCAGTCAGATAATGTTGAGCCTCCGGTGACTGAAATGGAGCGGTCAAATCATTTTGAGAAAAATGTGTAATTAGTAAACGCAAGGGGAATAATTATCCAGCTTTTATAAATGTTACTAAATGTAATAAATGTACAGTTACTATAAATATTCATTCATAATTATTAATGAAATATTTATATTTATTTGTTCATAAATATGCATTTATAACTCGAAATCGTTTTTTCCCTAGTGAGGTAAGTTACCTCCTTAAAAGCAATGTATTAATAGTCTATTTACTATATTGGAGGCAGACAAAATATGTTTCATACCCACCTATACAAACCCTTGGTCCTTCTCCGAAGGGAATGTGAGCGTAAGGATGCCTGGTCTCCTTATGCTCATCCGTGAACCTGTCAGGATTGAACTTGGTAGGATCATCATAAAATTCCATATCATAATGATACCCCATGATGGGAATAACTATGTTGGTGCCTTTTTCTATTATGGTATTTTCTCCAGGCACCTTATAGTCTTCCACGCATACCCTAGTGACCAGCGGAAGCGGTGGATACTTCCTCAAAGCCTCTACAATTGATTTAGATAAGACAATTGGACTAACGGAAGCTTCGGCTTACCGTCAATAACTTGTGTCATGTATGCCATCTCGTTGAGTGAATCGTAAGTGATTCTGTCGTCGTGCTTTGCTAGTACCGTACGAATTTCTTCCCGGACTTTGTCTTGGATGTCCTGGTGGGTGGCCAGTTCAAACAAGACGAAGGTTGCCGTGGTGGAACTGGTTTCGAAGCCTGCTAAGAAGAAGACGAAGCACTGCGCTGCTAGCTCGTCCATGGTCAGAGATTTGCCGTCGCCTAAAATTAAAAATAAAAATTAGAAAGAGAAAAGTAAGAAGTAGTAAAAGCAACAGCAAATTCCTAGTACTTGTAGGACGTAGAACTACTAAAGTCATTTTAGAGGTGAAGACAAAAAGAATATCGTTAAAATACTGGGATTCAAGGCTAGATCAGGCTTAAGCGAGGGATGTGTTGAAGACCAGACGTAGACAAACCCAACGCAAAGCAACTCTGTAACATGAAATTAGTAGAATGTTCAAGTTACAAATGGAAATGGGGAAAACATATTGCAGATTAAAACTGTATACATACAGGGTGGGCTATCAGTGTGAAAAAGTAACTTGTCACTCATAAACTTTTTTTCTGTATTATGAATAACAAGGGAGTTATTTTACTTTCTCACACTAATGGCCCACCCTGTACATTTACATAATTTTCTCACCTTTGTAGCCATCCTCTCGGCCTTCCTTGTTATTTTTTATATCGATAAGCAGCTGCAGAACGTCGTTCCTACTAACGTTGTTCTTCTCCCTGTAGACGACTGTATCTTCGACGACTTTGGTGAAGAACTCCGTGATGTCTTTGTCAACCATTCGGACCTTCAGAAACCTTCCGAGGGCAGGGAAGTTAAAAGCTAGAGCAAGCCTTAAGGCCCTCAGTTTGGTCATAGCAAAGAATTTCTGTCCGTATATCCTGAAAGGTGAATTCTCTTCCTTGAAGCTGTTACAGTCCAAACCAAAAGCACAGGAACCGATTATGTCGATTGTAAAGCGAGCTGGAACGAAAATCGTCTGTAGTTTCAAAAGGAATGAAAGGTTTTCGGTACTATTTTTCCTTTCGTAGAAAATTTTAGCAAGAAGTTTCAAATTGGTTTTGTTTAATTCTAACAATTTTTTATCAATAACGATTTTTTATACCAAATACGTCTTTGATGTCAACGGGTTCCTCTTTGTTGAGCACCTCTTCAAAGTAATTCTCCAGAATAACTCCACAGTCGGCTAGAGTCTGGAACATGGCCTTTAGCTTACCGGAAGTAAAGGTGGGGGTAACTTTGACCCTCAAGTTCCTCCACTTCTTACCGCCAATTGAAAAGAGATGGCTCCCTGAAAAAACAGAGTTACCACAATGTTTCCATCTGTTTATTATCAAAGCTCGACAAAAGTTGCAGCTCTTTTTATATTTTATCGAGAATTGACCCCCCTGTATACCATAATTTTTTACACAGCATGACCTCAGGAACCTGTTAAATTTATCCAGTACGTCATGTAACACCCTGTATATTTAACTTACTTATTCTCTCTGTTTATTTCTATAGTCTGTTTGGAAATGAAAGAGAGTAATAAAACCCCGAGATAAGAACCGGCCATGGGCGTGGTAATATTTCGTCTCAGGTAATTATCGGGTAACACTAATGCTAACAAAAATGACAGGGATTGGAAAATCGACTATCTACAGACTTTTAAAAGAAACAAAAAATGAACAAGATACTGTAAATCCTCCAAAATCATCTACAGGGAGGTCAAAAGTCGTTATAGATGATTTCTTCAAAAATGTAATTCGCAGAAAAGTACACTCATTTTATTTTAAAAAAGAAATACCAACGCTAAACAAAATTTTAAGTGAACTTTCAGAGGACAACGATTTGCTAAAAATCAGTAGAAGCAAATTATGGGCCGTCTTACGAGAGTTGAATTTTTGCTGGAAAAAGCAGAACAGGAAGTCAGTTCTTATCGATAAAGATGAAATTATTTGTTGGCGAAGATCCTACTTAAGATCAATTAGAAAATTCCGTGACGAAGGGAGGAATATTTATTATCTAGACGAAACTTGGGTCAACGAGCGATATACTGTAACAAAAGTATGGTAAGATAAAAATGTAAAAAGTTTTCGACAAGCATTTTTGGATGGACTTTCAACAGAGTTCAAGGCACCTTCAGGTAAAGGGCGAAGATTAATAGTCACACATATTATTATTATATTATTAAGTGCCAGTGGTTTTGTAGATGGCGGTTTACTTTTATTTGAATCTAAAAATACAGGTGACTATCACGAAGACATGAACGCAGATGTTTTCGAAGAGTATTTTACACAGATGTTGGATCTTATTCCTCCGTGGTCTGTAATTGTCATGGATAATGCCAGTTACCATTCACGGCAGATCGAGCGGACGCCTACGATTGCTTGGAGGAAAGCCGATATAATTCAATGGTTATTCGGAAAAAACATTTCTTTTGAAACAAATATGGTGAGAAAGGAACTTTTGACACTTGTCAATCTTAATAAAGATCAGAAAAAATATGTTATCGATGAAATGGCAACAAATCGCCAAATAACGGTACTACAGTTACCACCTTATCACTGTGAACTTAACCCAATCAAATTAGTCTGGGCGCAGGTAAAAGGAGAAGTAGCGCGAAATAATACGACGTTTAAATTAAGTGACGTGAAAATTTTGTTAAAAAATTCCTTGGAACGAGTAACTGCAGATAACTGGCAAAGATGTATACATCATGTACAAAAAGAAGAGGAGAAAATGTGGGAACCCGATAATTTAATTGACGTTACTGTGGAACCTATCGTTATCAATCTAGGAGACGAAGATAATTCATCAGAATATTCAGAGGATGAATTTTAATATACCTACTTTTTTATTTTATTTATTGTACATTTATACAACACTACATTTACTCACCATAATTTGAATTTTCAAAATACATATATTTTTGTGTGGAATAAAAGTCTATTCATTAAATTTAAATCAATATTTTGATAATATTATTGAATAATTTTATTTGAATTACTAAAAACCCTCTTAACCCGGTTATGATGCTTAAAGTAGCCTCATGTTTTGAAATCCTGTTTTTATATTGTTTACTTATAAGAGAAATGGACCGAGAAATTGAAACGGCATAGACAAAGACGGATTGTCGGGGATTAAATTTTAGCTACCTGCTACAATTTAGTACAGTCCGATCCCACAAAGTTTTTTTTAAAAGTACACCTCATCCTATACCGATAATACATAATATAAAAATATTGAATATAAGCACCCGTACTACATTTATTTACGATTTGCATACATAATAAGCTTTTATTACTCTCTTTCATTTCTAAACAGACTACTATAGTCTATGTTTACTTTTATTATGTTTCTGTGTAGTGTTCATATACAGTGCTAGTTTTTTAAAACCTGACATAAGCCAACTTTTTTATTTGATGTGATAGACTAGTACTTCCAAATGCAAAGTTGTAGGAATTAACATGATTAAGAAAAATTTACAAATAATTCTTTCCGTTGTTGCCAGATTTCTGCAGTAGCTACTAAAACGATATTTTTTTTAATTGCAACACCGTATACTTTTAACGTAATTTGACAAACCTCCAAATTCTAAATAAAAAATATTATGTCACATTTCTTTATTGGAGTAGCCGTTTTCGAACAATCAGCAATAATAACGAAAATAATCTGCAGTCGGCAGGAACTAAAAGAAGCTGAAACAGCAATAGTAGGCCTTGGATATTAAACAAAATTTGTGTTGTTTGAAAGGAGCTAACATTATTGTATTGCCATTGTGGTATTTGAAAGCTGTTGTATTTGAATGTGTATAAAAATAACGTTAATTCAGTTGCTAAGATGAATCAGTTATTTAATCCAAAAGAGAAAGTTGAATTATTTTTTTTTTTCATGTTGGTGGCTTAAGTAAACGCAATGCGTGTACTGAATTCCACGCAATATATGCTGATAAGCCTTTTCCAAAGCCGGCGTTTTTAAGAACTAAGTACAACTGAAAACAACTGGTAGGATCTGCAAAAGGCTGAAAATCATTTTCGCAACTGAATTAAATCGTTATTTTAACAGCTATCAAATAACACAATGACAATATAATAATGATAGCTCCTTTCAAACAACACAATTTTTGTTTAATATCCAAGGCCTACTATTGCTGTGTTAGCTTCTTTTAGTTCCTGCCGACTGCAGATTATTTTCGTTGTTTTGCTGATTGTTCGAAATCGGCTACTCCAATAAAGAAATGTGACAACAATTTTTATTTAGAATTTAAAGGTTTGTCAAATTATGTTAAAAAAATACGGTGTTGCCATTTAAAAAAGTATTGTTTTAGTAGCTACTGGAAAAATGTGGCAACACCGGAAAGAATAATTTGTAAATCTTTCTTAATCATGTTATTTCCTACAACTTTACATTTGGAAGTACTAGTCTATCACTTCAAATAAAAAAGTTGGCCTAGGTCAGGTTTTAAGAAAATAACACTGTATGTCTAATGTTTCATTTAACTTAGTCTTCTGGGATTTTCGTCAAAATCTGTAAATTTGCCTTAACTGCAAATAAATAAATATATCACGTACCTAGCGGGTCATCCTTATCGTTCACATACGGTTTCCTGTCGACGAAATGGCCAAAATCTTTAGTCATTACATGTTTCGCCAGGTCCAAGTCTACAATCATGATGCTGGGTCTTGCCATTTCGTATATTCCACAAAATTTCCATCCTAAAAGGAATAAACAGGGTGATATGTCATATATAGGAACATAATGTCATTAATTTTAACCACGTATTTGGAAGGTCTAATAAAGACAGAAAATCGGAAAAAAAATATTTTTACTCGACTTTTAAAATTGGAGGAAATCAACCCATAACTCCCGCTAACAGGTCATGTAATGTCACGAACGAGTCATCAGCAAAGTTCACATTTATTTTGGGTTCCGTGTTAAACGTATCCACTTAATCCGCTTAGTATACATATACATATGTACGAAGCTAATAAAATGCAAGTAAATAAAGGAGCATGCTGCATTTTATTATAAATAATTGTAACAATTGCATTAACTTGCAAGTGCAAAATGTTTTAACAAACCTGACTTCTCGAAGTCAACTTTCGTTAAAAGAAAATAAATAAAGCAGAGGTACTTACCTGTTTGTACCCGTATTTTATTAAATACGTGCAAGTCAAAAATGGGTTAGAAGGTTAGTGACCTAGACAGGTTAGCCTAGGTCGGAAACACGTACCGAGTTGTTTATTTGTTTCCGTCCGATTGTTTTTTTTTTATGGAATATATGTCTCTCTACTATTACTTACAGTCAATATTTAAATACTACACCCTCTCTTTATAATTTATCTAATGACTGTCGGTTTTTTATTTCATTATTTCTGTAATGAAATTGAAATGGTTATGAAATGAAATTCAAATTATTTGAACTCTTGGAGTTTTGTAACTTCAATATTAAATTTTATTTAAAGTGAAATAGAGCTAATTTCTTTGCAGCCATAATAGTCATATTTGATCAGATAAAAACCCGCACACTATTCGTCGGTTTAGCTGTCAGAGGAGATTCTGTGTCAATGTATCGGCAGGAGTATATGGCAATCGTTTAATTGGGCCGCATTTTCTACCTGAACGTCTGAATGGGCCGCGTTACTTTCAATTTTTAGTAGAACTGTTTAAAAACCTTAAAACCTTCCCCTTCAGATACTACGGGGTATGTGGTATATGCACGACGGAGCTCCGGCCCATTTTGCTCGCGATGTCCGTGGATTTTCAGACGATCAATGTCCAAATCGGTGGGAGAGGAGGACCCATAAAATGGCCAGCGCGCTCGCCGGACCTAAATCCTATGTATATTGGGTTATATGAAATCTGTCGTGTATCACACCGAGGTAGAGAATGTACAGCAGTTGCGGAATAATATCGAAGATGCCGCTGAAGAAATACGTAGGTAACAACCCTGGTTTATTCCATCGCATCCGCCGCTTATCTATCTAATGTGTACACTTGTACATAGACGGTAACGGTAATGTATTTGAACATTTACATTATGATGTTAATAAAAGCTGATTTTTGGTAAGGCATGCTCAGACCTCCTCGAGGACAACTATAACCATTTAATATGTTGATTGCATAATTATAAAAAATAATTTGTAACATTTTAAATTATTATTGGCTGACGTGAGCACACCGTTTATTTATTGTCTTTATATGAGCGAAAATATATAAATATGGCAACGTTGCATCTAGGGCACCTTGTTCATATCGTAGCCGTGCGCAATACTGTGAATAACCGGCTGAATCAACCTGAATAATATAAATAATAAAATATGGGTATCCTAAAGAATAAGTAACTACAAGTACTTTTGTTTATGACACCTGACGTCATTACCACAACAAACTTGATTAAAGTTAGAATATTTGAATTTGGATATTTTAAATATAAATTAAAATGTTGTACTTTCGTCCACAAATACGAGTTAAATATGTAAAATAAATACTCTTTCTATACAGTGTCCCGGTATTTGATACAAAAAAGTCGAGTACAAATAGATGAGGTCAAAATAATATCAGTTCTTTATACATATTTTTTTCATATGGGCCTTCGTTAATAAGTTATGGGCCCTAAAAATTAAAAAGTTGTTTTGGTTTACAGTCTCTAAACTATTAAATTCAGTACAATGCAAATTTGGTGATCGATAACACATGCGTATATCTTTTTTTTTATTTTTGTAAGTGAAACTTTATTATGCCCAGAACGCCAGGGACGGTCTATGCCCAATGGTTACCAACCCAAAATTTTTGCATATTCTTCAGGGAACTTATTTTTGATACAGGCAGATTGCGTTCGTCATCTATGCAAAAATTCTGGGTTGTTAACAATTGGGCATACTCCGTCCCTGGTGTTTTGGGCATAACGGAATTTCTCTTACAGCATCAAAAACAAGATATACGCATGTGTTATCAATCACCAAATTTGCATCATGCTGAAGTTAATAGTTTAGAGACTAAATAAAAATAACTTTTTTCGCCTTTTAGGGCCCGTAACTTATTAACGAAGGCCCGTATGAAAAAAAATTATATGAAGAACTGATATTATTTTGACTTCATCTATTTATACTCGACTTTTATCAAATACCGGAACACCCTGTATAATTCACAGGGTTAAGGCATCGTAATTTATTTGTAGACAATTTAACCGTCATGCTCTCAACAGCTGACTAATACCAACAAGCTAAAGTACCATATAATTTATTTAAAAAATACCTGCGTTATTCTTTTTAATTATAGAAGTGATATTAAATATACCTTTAGCGCGAGCTTTATCGTACATGCGTCTTACTGTATCGCTTAATGATATGTTGATGTTCAAATGATTTGAAAAATTGCCAAAGGGTATAGTGGGTTCCAGGTAAGGTACGTTCTGCCTCTCCCAATATTGATATGTCCATTTGTAGTAGGCGAAGATCACCACCAAAAGTGAGGTGATGAAACCAAATAAATCCAAGAATATATTTCCTGTGAAGGTCATCATGATGCCTGGGAAAAACATTATGAGTTATTTCTACACTATTAATTAAATAAGACAAATAATAATACAATCCCTGTTTTATATGTTATCTCTCGATGGCTTTGGTTGTTTTTTTTTATCAAAAATATGTATAGCTTACTAGGATTTGCTTATGAAAACAATTTTTAATGCAATCTTAAAATATAAGCCTCAATTTTATGGCAAGTGCGCGCAGAGAAATAATAAATGAGGATTTGGAAAAAATTCTGGAGTTATTTTAAACTAGCTTGTTTACTTTCAAAGAAAAAATGATAAATGAACATTTTTTAATAATTATGTATTAAATATCATTAAGTCAGATTTAGAACATCAGAAAAATGCATTTTTTTAAGGATTCGCTCATCAAAAGTCCATAGTGTTATACCTCGTTGGAAAGCTCTTTTCATGCTTTATCTTGTGGTGAATGTCATTTATCTCAATATGAATAGTCTGAACAGGAAACATTTCTGAAAAAAATTCAACTCTATGTTTTAGTATGTAGGTTGCGCCCCGAGCTACGAACTTGGAAACTATTTCGGGCGATTTCTCTTGGTTGATTTATCAACCATACTTTTTTCCCGAAGTTCTATACTTTCCCAAATATCGTACCTCGCCGACCTTAGTGAGACAACCTGTACAGCCGAAAAATTTGACCGACAGAATCATGTTGATGTTCTCTAAGCTATTGGACATATCCGACCAATTTGTTCAGTTCCGGTGATGCAAATGTGAAAGGCTCCGTCAGAGATCAGGTGCACCACAAGGATCAATTTTGGGCCCGCTATTATTCGTGATGTTTATTAATGACATAACTGCGCATTGTTTATTGTATGCTAATGATTTGAAATTATTCGCAGAAGTTACATCTCTGTTTCTAAAAACAATAAATATAACAGCTGTGTGGTATAACCAAAATAAATTATCTTTAAATGCTGATAAATGTGCTGTAATGTCTTTTACACGTAAAATTATCAACACCAGATATGATTATAGCCTTGACAGTTCCATATTGCAAAGGCTTCAGTATATGAGAAACGGTCTTGTCTTCGATACTAAATTAAATTTACCGCATTGAAGTAGTTGCATCATCACCATCATCAGTCATTAATTAGAAATAAATAAATAAAATTTAACGCTATATCGTTTACTGGCATTAAATATAGCGTATTTCGTTTGATATTCAGTTGACCTTAGTTTAACCTTGCTGCTTGCGGTGAGGGTCAAATCCAAGGTCACCCTCGTATTTGTCGTAAAAATTCTGCAAATTTTATTTTAAAACATTTTTGTCGAGATATTCTGAGAAAAATGAGTTTGACTTCAAAAGGACCTGCAAGCACACAGAAAAATGTTCAGATCCCGTACTGAGATGTAATATTTTGGCTCTATCAGTTGGTGGCATAAAATACAATGTCAAAGTCAGCACTATATTGATTTCTTGATTGAACATTTTAAATTTTTCCTGGAACACCCTAAACAGTACTTGAAAAAGTTATTTCACTGAAAATATACACTCGCTGGTAAAGGTTCAACCTGTATTCGACAAATTAAAATACTTACTCATGTCTCAGAAAAAATACTTTTACATTAGAAGAATTCCAACACTTTGGATGAGCGAAAAACAGAATTGTCAAATTTTGACAGAAGAGCGGAGCAAATCATAATACGTGGTCTTCTAAAAACAACTTACTTAAATACGAATAACAACACAACACAAGTAGGTACCTACTTTTACTTATAGTTGTGGAACAACTGGTACATCAACTTGTTTGTTTTGTGTACTATAAACATCTGACGAAAATATCTGCTAAATCTGGCCACACTGATAAAGCATTTAATGAGACCATCATAAAACAGTGAAATTTAATCGCTAATTATTTTTATCTTTTAGGAGAATGTAGAAGAATATAGCTTGTTCTTGTTACGCATACCTCTTTTTACCCATGTCAGCGTTGTCTTCTATTGTCTAGATTTTCGAATAAATAGCTTTAACCTTTAGATCAAACCTTATCCGTTGATATGGCGCTGATACACTGATAAGGTGAAAAGAAATTTAAATAGTTATTTACACCATTAAGGGCGCCATATTCTTGAAATAGTGTTTTCCATAAAGACAAATAACACAGGAGCACAAAAAAATCTTCGAAAGGTCTCCTCGGCCAAATCTATCGTATTATATGTTCTTTGGGTCGCTGAAACCGAATCTGCAACTCATTTGGTCCCATTACGTCAGAGTTTTTTTCTAACCTCAAAAAATAGCTGAAAAATGGTAGTATGCAACAAAATCAACCCTGCAACCTGTTAAAACCTTATAACTCCACATAGCTTGACAAGCCGTAAAATAATAACTCGCAACTGTAAAATTACATGACCTCAAAATTGGATGAGCCCAAAACCCAAAAACCTAAAATAAGCAGCGAATAAACTTACACATAGGGCACAAACCTTCATTTTTGAATAGTAAACCCTTTTAACCTAAAACCCCAAAAACCATAAACTGAAAACACGACAAGACCTCAATCTGAAACCTCAAAACCCCGAAGCTGAATAAACCTAAAACTCCAATACTTCAAAACCAGGGCCGGCATTAATAAGGTTGAGGGTGGCGATCACTTCGAGCGTCACACATGAGCACAAGCCATTGGCCGAAACTCATAAACTTAAGCACCCGAACCCACATACCCTGAGCACAACATACCTTGGGCGCAGCAACATCTACGCTTCCATCACACAGGCCTTTGGCGGGACTCATGAAACTAAGCTTCCACAACCTCATACCCTAGGTGAAACAAAAGAGTGTTAGAGTTTGCAAGGTTAGATTTAATACTAAGCTCCATTTGCTTGTTTATTCTCTTTGTAACAAACATTGATCTCGCTCCGACCAGAGTACGTGGGCTTGGGAGCTTGGATGTGAAAGAAAGCTGGCTTTGTTCGCTTGTCTGCTGCTTGATGAACGTGTATCTCGCTGCCATGAGGATTCGGAAGTTTGAGTGTAAAAGCATACTCGTTCTGTTTGCCTGTCTGTTGCGCAACTAACGCGAATCCTACTGTTCCTAGAGTATGAGGGTTTAGGAGCTTGGGTTCAAGAGAAAATCGCTTTGGTCGCCTATTTCTTTTGAACTTTGATTTGTTTAATTTGAACTCTGCACCAATCTGAAATTTAATAACATCAAGACTTACATGTAAGACTTGATTCTCAATTCATCTAGAGCTTGAAAATAAAGGTTCCGAATCAAAAGTATATTTTCGTATGGCGACATCCAGGGCATCTCCTCGTGTGACGGCGGGCAACGGAATTTTTCCGTGATCCGGCGAGGTCCCTGGATTGCGGCTTTCATGCCGTCGTGTAGGCACCACCAATTCGTAGATTTTTGTGCCTTTGAAGTTTCTTGGATTCTAATGAGTATCTGGTTTCAATTACTCGGGTTTGAGGATCTTTCTGCGGCCAGGGTATGTAGGTTTGGAAGATTAGGTTTATGAAACTTGCTGTACCCAGAGTATGTGGGTTTAGGATCTTGGGTTTGAAATGACGACAATATTCATAGTCTCTTAAAAAAGCGAAATTCGCTTGAAAATAATATATTTGACAGTCTGTACCTTCGTTGTTTTTCAACGAATCTTGACGATTATTTTTTTAACTTAAAGCTCTTTTCATAAGCTTTCCGAATATGTAATAATATACAGGGTGTTAAAAAAAGAGTGTAAAATATTTCAGGAGGTAATAGTATGAACCAAAATAAGCAGAAAAGTCTTAATAAACCGCAAAGTAACGGTTGCGGAGATATGGACAACTATTCGTTTTTCAAACATTTTATTTTATTAGGAATAAACCGACAAAGGAAGCTTTTAACAAACAAAAAACAAAGTTACAGAAGATGTTCAAAGTGCCCTCCGTCCATTTCCAAGCAGGCACGACATCTTCGTCTCAACGATATTCGAACTCTTTCGAAAACACCCTCCTTGGTTTGGATTTCTTGACACTTTTGATTAATCCGTAGCTGCAGCTCTTCCAGGCTATTTACAGGAGTACCATACACTAATGTCTTCAAATATCCCCAAACAAAGAAATCTAGAGGGTTCAGATCAGGCGATCTTGGAGGCCATAAAACAGGTCCGGCCCTTCCTACCCATCTATGTGGAAAAGTTTGGTGTAAATGCTCTCTAACGGCCATGGAAAAATGAGCTGGAGCACCATCATGCTGGAACCACATTTGTTGCCTCTGATTCAAAGGAATGTCTTCCAAAAACTCATACAGTGTGTTCTGCAGAAAGTTGAGGTAAGCAGCGCCTGTTAATCGGTTTGGTAAAACAACAGGACCTAGAAACCTGTCACCTACAATACCCATCCAAATGTTTAATGAAAAACGTGCCTGATGTCCAGATTCTATTAGAGCATGAGGATTTTCGTCGGCCCAAATATGCGTATTGTGAAAATTAAACACTCCATTTCTTGTGAACCCGGCCTCATCAGTAAAAAGAATGTTTGCAAGAAAACGAGGGTCTTCAGCATCATGACGTAGAAACCAGCGGCAAAAAACCAAACGTGCTTGATGATCATTTATTGGATTTAAGGCCTGTACTCGTTGCACATGGTATGGATAAAGCAGTTGCTCGTGAAGGATTCTCCAAACAAGAGGACCACTAATTCCTACCTCGGCTGATATTCTCCGCACACTCGTACCTGGATTCTGCTCTACCAGTGCTAGAATTTCTTCTTCTGCTCTAGGAGTGGATACCGACCTTGGTCTTCCGGATAAATGGCACTGTTTGCTCAAGGAACCGGTATCACGCAATCTTTGGTGAATTCTTCCAAACATGCGTTGTGAAGGAATCTGGCGATTTGGATAAGCGTCAACATAAAGACGTCGCGCTTCGGTGGCGTTCCCATTAGCACGACCATACATGAAATGCATGTCTGTTAATTCTGCGTTAGAGTAACCAGCCATAGCGAAAGAAAACTTGTGCACTGAGAACAACTGTCAAATACGTACTGTTTATTTCACTAAACATCAACCAACTATTATAAGAAAATACACAACGTTTTTGCAAAATAAAAAAAGGGGCTAAAAAACATAAAACATTCCATATCTCCGCAACCGTTACTTTGCGTACCCATGTTTATTGAGACTTTTCTGCTTATTTTGGTTCATACTATTACCTCCTTAAATATTTTACACTCTTTTTTAACACCCTGTGTAACTACCTGTATATCACGCTTGTGCGTCGCATATTTCATTTTGCAACTAAGGCTAAAAAAAACTTTCCAGGTTGCAAATTTGAAATTTAAAAAAAAATAAAAATTTCAATGTATTATTAAGAAATCTACCATGAAAAAAATCAGATGCTCGGGATCAGACTAATAATTAGTTAATTTGTTTATAAAGCCATAACATGTAAACTGTTTAACTTACCCATTCCAGATATCGTGCGAGTTATTAGACAGTGATAAAGAATGAGAAGATGCGATGCCAAAACGTTCTAGTAATAATGCAGTTTATAAATGTTTAATTCAAAAGTCATAAATAAACTTCTTCTGTTTATAACTTTTGATCTAATCAATATTTTTTGACGCTCGAGGGCTAGTTTTGTAGGTATTTTGAAGACGAAAAAAAAAGTACTCTACTGTTTTCTCGTGGAAATGAACGGAAAAGTTATAAACGAAATACGTGAATTTACGTAAAAATTATAGGATTAACCACCCTGTAAACAATCTTCCCCCCATTTTTATGACTGTGGAAACTAATATGTTATTGTACATAATATTTAGCATCCATAGTGATAAATTCAGCTTTCCGAAACAAAAAATCGCGTCCAACTCTATATTTCCTGGCCTAACAAGATATGACAGTACACCTTTTACACAAAGTAAGAGAGGAATCGAACTATGAAAGAAAAATGTCAAATTTGACAACACTGTCAAAGATGTATAAATTTAAATGGATAGTTTCGTTTGCTCCTGTATAATCCACGCATATTGAATATCAGTTTAAACTTGGAATGAACATTACCACGAGTTACTTTAATTGCTTAAATTTCATTGTTGTCATGGTAACGACTTAGAAGTTATAATTGGAATTTGTTTCTTTGAAGGCGAATAACTCCACAACGAAGCCAGATAGGAAAAAAATTTTTATGAAGTGCTACAACTATGTTGGGCTCCCCTGTACACCCCTTCATTTTTGACATGACCTTTCCGGACACCCTGTACATATTTAAAGAATATGAATGACAGCTATGAATGATAACTTAACAAAATTTTATGTAGTGACAGCAATTACAAATAAACCGATATGTGACAGATAGCGGTATACAAAATTGTTGTTCCAGTGCCTTCTATTTGATATGTTTTAGAAAGCGAGCACCGTAAACTGTTGTCAAAGGCTGAAAGTTTTCTCATTTTTTCTCAAAAATTTTTTATGTAAAGGCATATAAATTTCGCTGGAAAAATGGTTGGAAAGAGAAAAAGATCTGTCAAAACATGTAAGAAATTTGCACAATTCCATTTAAAAAAAACATCGATGACGTCACCACTCATCTACAGTGTGGCGAAAAGAAATGTGTGTGGGTCAATATAAAGAAAAGAACATTTCATTTAAAAATATATGTAGTATATGCTTTATATGTATAATGCTTTTTATAATCCAACAGACTGTATATTCATTGGTTTATCGCCTTATTCTCGTATAGAATTCCTTTTTTAGTTTTGGAGTTTTGTACTTAAGAACTCATTAAACGATATTACTCTGAAAATATATATATT